TCCTTATAATTTCTTACTTCTAGGGGCCTCCAAACTGTTCCCCAACCAATGAGTGGGTAATTCACACAATCCTGCAACCAGCGTTTACCACAGCTCTCCACGGACAGGACCCAGGTATAATGGAGGACACAGCAATGAGTGAAGCCTAGTTCCTACTCCAGAGGAGCTGACAGCCTAGCAGATGTGAGACATGTGATGTACTATCAGACTAATATTCCTCAGTTTGGCCCCAAATCTCACATCCCATATGACAAGCATCCTCTTTCTAGGTGACCTCTCTGGCAGTACAGGCAACCTCAGCTAATCCCAAGAAGAGGTACCCTAAGGTAAAAGACAGAGGGTGCCTTCAGGGTAATCAACTTGTTACTTCATTACTAAGACCTGAGCCTGAATATGCCCAGTCCAGGGCCACACTGGACTGGGAAACCTGAGAGTTTGACACTGTGGGGCTTACAGCACATCTTAGACATGAACAGTGATGTGTGACCACACAGACCCCACTGGACAGCTCTTCTTCCTGGGGCTTCCTTCTTGCCTGCTCTACATCCCGACTGAACCTCTAATCATCAGCAGCGCTCAGCAAAACACACTTCACAACACACAGACGAGGATCAGAACACGGAATACAGGTCAAATTTGTTTTAAATTCAGGATCTGAGGCAAATGATCCCTGGGAGCTGCTTGTGTCGAGATTTCAGATCAATAATGAGCTGCTGGAAGTTAATACTCCAACATCATGCATTGTCACTTCTCACTGAACCCACACGGTGGGGCCCACACAGCACTCTCATGTGTATTTTTCATCCGCTCATCAAAACCACCCTCTAAGGTAGGGTTGGCATAATCGGCACTTTGCCCTCAGGGATGAAATAGCTTCCCAGTGAGTGAGATGGAACCCTAGCCAGTTTTCTCTAACTCAGCACGCTTGCCATGTAAGGGTAACTGTTTGTAACTGGTCTAAAATTACAGGTCTTACCTTTCCCTTGTAAACACATCCTTGTGTAATCACTCGCTTCTCGGAGTTTTAATCAGTTAATGTCTGGTGGTCTAATACTCTTGCCAAGTTAAATTCCTTCCATGGACCCATACAATCCTTTTCTCTTCTGGTAGGTCCTGGATTAATTTCACAATACCTTAATGGGTCCACTACATCCTCATTTACATAGAATTAATCATTCAAAGGTGAAAACGGACATGTGTGAGATAAACTGCAGAGCTTACACTACATCTAGAACAATTTTTGAGGAGTGAATCAAAACATTCACATTTAAATATTTTAGGGGAAAAAATGTATGCTTTTTATTGAAAGTGTACAGGGAGATGAGACAATAAAATATCATCTTTAATAAAATATTTACTTACTGAGTAGTGTATATTCTTGCCTTGGGACTATATTCTGTAAATGAAAATACTTCAGATTATATTTTTGATCTATAGGTTTCCTTTAGGCACCCTTAATGAAACTGATTCTCTTCGCTTGAGGACACTGAAGCCATCAACACACTTCTTATAAAACCCACCTTTCCAGCCTGGCGTCCTGTGTGGGTGAAAGAGATGATGTGGAAGTGGTAGGCCCAGTGGGCCCAGGCGAAGGTCTTGAGGAGTGATAAGAGTTGCTTCCAAAGTTGCTGTACCTAAAGAGTGCAGAGATTTAAGTTGGGGGTGGGGGTGGGGGGAGACAGAGAAATTAGTACAAGTCAGTAAATGAGTAACATTTAGCAAACTCTCTTAATTTTTGCAAGAAAAATAGTCTGGAGATGCTAACATTGTTTCTGATTGCTCTAACTGCTTTGTTTTGATTATTGCTCATTAGAGAAGTTCCCCAAAGTCCAAAATCATTAGGCAGCAGGATTTATGACAGAGTTGAAATAGAACCCTCTTATTTCCTGTCTTATAAAATGTACAGCAAAACTATTTGCTAACAGAGATTAAGAATCCAAATTATTTTCATTTGAATCATGAAGATTTTTCTTGCCTCTCCTAGTGGTGCAATTAGCATCAAATCCATCAAAGATCTCCAGCCAATCCCAGATGATTGACTAAAGAAACATCTTATTAAAAATTCTGCCTTAGGCATTTCTGAATCGATTTCATTCATTAAACATAATCTCATCATGTAGCTAGTGATCAAGAAGAAAATACCCCCAGGCTTTCTGGACTGGCCTGCTGCTTGGAGACATGTATATCAATGTTTTCATCCAATATTTCCCCAGAACCAAAATTACAGCCACTAGGTTTAAAAGAGCGTGTGTTGTTTCCCAGTCATCTCTGAAAGTTTCAGGATTCGTAAAATTTGAGTTTTCTTTCTGTTTTTCAGAATAAATGTTCTTTAGCAATTATATTTAGCTATCATCACTCAGTGCATTTCCAGAAAAGAAATCATCACCTGAAGCCCTTGCATGGGGGTGGACACTCATGATTAGTTGAAAAATAATAAGCTTCAGAGAGAGAGCTTTACTTCTCAGTCTACTCAGCCACAGAGCAGGACCAACTCCTTCCCCTAAACTAGTTAGGGACATTGTATTTTGGTACATGGGATCTCAAGGGTCACTATCATAAAATGCCCAGACCTTCCTGCGTATGGTGAATCCAGTCCAAACTCCCATCAACAGAAATCCGCACTAAGCATTCTGGGAAGCAATTAGACCTCAAAATGTAGATAGATATCCTTTGACAAAGTAAGTCTACTTTGGGGAATTTATCATGACCTTATGGTTATTTATATACTGAAAATGTCATGCAGGAAGATACTCACTGGAACATTATTGAGATCACAGTGAAAAACTGGAAACTACCCTACTAGGTAGGTAACAATGTAAGAATGGCTAAGAGAGTGTGATATATGAATCAATGGGATATTAGCCAACCATTAGAAATGATTGCCAGTTTTATAAGTGATAACATAAAAAATATTTATATAGAGAGAGGGTGCCAAAAATATGTATACACATTTTAAGAAAGGAAAATACTATTCTAAAATTGTAATATTCAATATATACCGATAACAAAAGATGAATACACGTCACGTTTGACTTCCGCAATTACAAGAGGTGCTCAAAGAGGTTACCCATCAGCATAATTTTAATATAGTTTTCTCCTTTCTTAAAATGTGTATACATTTTTTTTGGCAACCTTGGTATATTGAAATTAATATATCAGGATATAATGAATTAAAATATCAGGATATAATACACTAAGTTTCATCACAACTGTATAAAAATATTCTTAAAGGTAAAAAATTATGTGTAAAAAAACAGACCATCTTATTTATTTATTTATTTATTTGATATATATATACATATATACATATATATATATATTTTTTTATTATTATTATTATTTTTTTTAGCTGAGCCATCCTGCTACCTATTGGCAGCTTAGCGGCTGCTCAGCTCGGGCCAGGACTCGAACCACTGTTGCTCAGAGCTCAAACTCTTGAGCGAGCTCTTAACCAACTGAGCCACTCAGCCGGCCCCAGACCATCTTTTTTAAAAAGTGAAATACAGAGATGAAATGTCAGACTTCCTTAATAGGTTAATTATAACAAGAAATGAAATATTTAGGGCTGGCCAAGTGGCACATTGGTTAAGAGCTGGCTTGGGATGCCAGAGGGCCCCGGTTCGGATCCCACATATGAGGATCAGTGACACTGCCAGAAGCTGGTGACTGATCTGCCTCACCCAGGAAGAGCGCAATGATGGTGCCAACTTGGGCCAGTGAAACAATGTCCTCCACAACTAAACTGAAGAACAAAAAAGGATAGCAACTTGTCTGTTCCCCTTCCCCCAATTCCCCAATAAAAATCTTTAAAAAAAAAGAAAGAAAGAAATGAAATATTTATATTTCCCCCAACCTATCCTATGCTGCTAAGTCTTGTATGCTGGACTGTGGCTCCTATCTGTTTATTTGGGACCACATGTCAAGCCTGTGCTCATGACCAGGCCCTCTGCCAGGCAGATGGGGTCTTAGATCACACAATGTTACTCCATCATCCTCCTCTGTGAACACACCACTTTTGTGGGACTTGGTTTCTGGCATTTATTTTCTCTTCTCTTAAAGAAACCCAACACTCTACATGTCCAACCAGTTAACTGCTTCTCTGAGTGTTGCTGTGATGCTTCAAGAGGGTACCCAAACCACAGGTCATGGAGAAAGCAGAAAAGCAAATGATGAGAAGAACATATATACAAAGGAAAGAAGAAGGAGAGAAGGAATAAAAAAGCTCAGGGACAAAGAAGAAGGAGAGAAGCAAGTCATCGAGCTCTGTGACACAGGCGGGGAAGGGGGCTGCCACCAGGAGCTGAGCGCTCAGGGAGACCAGGCCCCTGTGCTCAGATGCAGCCTTGGGTCACCCGGCTAGCTGCCTGGACTCTCAGCTGACTATTGGATGCAACTTACGACCAAAAGTGGGCATCCTTTTGTAGACTGTTTTAACAGGTTTACTTTATTAAAATTATGTTTCAATGACATGAAAGTAAAACAAACATAATGTGTTTATTCCTCCTTTGGTTTTTCTAAGCTGAGCAATTAATTCAAATACCTCACAGTCTGTCCAATTTTGCTTCTCAATTTCAGTCAAGCTAATTAGATCATACAATTCACTCACTTAACTCGTTAGTTTTTATTATTATTATTATCCTTTTTAATGACTAACTGGTTGGTCTCTATTATACCCTATTCAGTCACCCACTGATCAGTCAAATCTGTGGCTGGACAGACTGAAGAAAACCATACGAACGACCATCAGAAAACTAATAGGAGCAAACAATGTTTATATTGTATACAAATTCCTATCAAATCGCTTAAAAAAGGTAAACTTTTCTCAGTTAAATCTAATGAAATCCTCATTCACAAACATGCGGCTGCTTTCCTCAGTTTACATGTGTATTCACTTCAGCAATTTATATGTTTCTACCTACCGCTCCCATCCCCCAGGGCTATAAGTAGTAGTGAAGCTTGGGGACCAAGTGGGAGGGACCTGGGTCCCAGGAGAGGCCCATCCAGAGGCTGTGAGACTATCACCAGAAAGTCCTGGCTCACCATCATGGGCTAACACCACTGGGGAAGATGAGGTTGCCAAGATATTTTTATTCCAGTCAAATGTACAGCTCTTAACATGCACATAGAGACTGTCCTTGGAGGGCCTAAGGGCCGTGTTGGAGACAGTCCATGAGGACTGTGGGAAAGATCACAGCAATCCCAGAATCTTAAACCTGGAAGAGACTGGTAGAGAACTTGTAGTCTGGAGATGTTCAAGCTGGAGTTCACATCGTCCTGGAGGTACACAAAGCCAGGAAACAGGAGGACGTGAAATTTCAGATCCTTGAGTTCCCCATCTGCTCTTTCTTAAAATGGATTTTCCCATGGCCATCCTAGGGTCTCCCAGTTCTCCTGTCCTGTCTCCCCTTCCACAACTGCCTTCCACTTTTAGAAAAAAAAAAAAAAAGCAACCTTCTCATCCAGGCTGAACCAGTGAGGGGCACTACTTTGAGCTGTAAAGTCTCCAGAGTGCTAGGCAAAGGAATAATACGAGACAGTATCCCTCCTGAGGAAAGTCCTTAAGAAATACAGTAATGCCTTGGTTTGCAAGCCTAATCGTTCCAGAAACAAACTACTCGTATTGCAAGACATCGCTCATTTACCACGTTAAAATGTATTAGAAATGTTTGCGCATCTTGCGGAACACTCGCAAACCACGTTACTCAGCAATCCAAGGTTTTACTGTACTAAGAAAGGAGAAAGCAGTGATTTATTTATCCAGGGACAAACTCAGAGCCAGACCTCATGCATTGTTTCTATCTATTCATCCACCTACCTGTCAGACCCCAGAAGTGAGATGGTTGTCACAGAGACGCATATTAGCTTATTGGAATTGAAACATGAGGTCAGACTTTTTCTGAAAGACATTAGGTCTCATTTGAGACTGGCTTGGCCAATTAGGCATATGTAAGCGTTTTCCATAATTTAATCAGTTCAATCCAAAGCCCCAAGGTTCTGACAAAAATAAATTAAATTTAAAGCATATATGTATATATATATATACATATATATATATAATAGACAAATTACATCCTTTATAAACTATTTAAGCTTACGATAAAAAACTGGACAGGCTACTTAAAACTTTGAGGGAGGTTTCAAAATTCTTTTAGGTTTTATGTAAGCAAAAATGGTTAATGACCACAGTTCTAGATTAATTCTTGTATTTATCAGATGGAATGCCTGACACCCATAGCAACTGGCCATTTTTTTGTGGTGTGAAAGAGCTGCCTGCCAGGCCCAGGTCCTGTAACGCTTCATTCAAAATGAAGGTGTACTTTCTTGCTGGGCACCCAGGCTGAGGGTCCCCCAAGAAGACTCTGACAAAAGCGTCTTACTGGAAGGACTTGCCTGAAGAACCTCTGGCAGACAGCAGCCAGGGTTAGGCCAGGTATTAGGAGTTGTTGCATACACAAGCCCATAAAGGAGAGAGAGTGACAGAATGCCTAAAAGAGAGGCCTACACAATGTACAGGTTAGGGCCAGAATCTAGAGCAGGCTGCCTAGGATGGAAACCACTCCCCACTTACCTAGCCTCTCTGTGCCTCAGTTTCCTCATTGCAAACAAGGGCAAGGAATAGAACCTACCTCTTAAGGGTTAAGTGATATATTAAAGTGCTAATTTCATGGAAAGCACAGAGCCTAGCTCTTAAATGCTCAATCAATGTCAGCGATGATTATGATTACTCTAAGATGGGAGTGGCTATCGGTATTATTCATTTTGGACAATTCATTGTTCAAAGTATCCAACCCTCCGTTCCCCATTCCCTGCTCTGCAAAAGTTTCTAATCCAGGCATCAGAGAAGGGCAGGCACACAGGTAAGCTACACGGGTAAACTGCTGAAAATTCCCTGGGCTGTCTTGATTTACACACCTCCCACCCCCTGTCCTCCCCTCTAATTTTTATAAGAATTATTGAAGTGTTCACACTTTAAATAATGTAATTGTATGAATGCACAGGAAGGGACTCAAACTGCAATTGTTTGCCATCTCACGGGAAGCTATAAGTAACCTTAAAAAAAGAAAATGTATATATTAGAATAAAAACCGAAAGCTATACAAAAGGGAAAGAAAATAAAGACACCCACCTATTAGAAGAGAAAGACCGAAAGTTGTAAGGCTCAGAGGCAGAATATGTGCTCAAATGGAGAGAATCAGAGCAACTGTTAAAAGGAAGGAAAGCCCCACTCAAAACGGTTCATGGAAAGATGACTTAGCACGTCATGGAATTCTGCAGGTCAAACAAGACCCTGTGCCAGACAGATGAGTGTGAAATGTACCGATTATGTCACACCATGCATATTTTTAAAATCTTCCACTTAAAACCCATTCTTAATCATTGTATTATAATGAAAAAGCTCCTTACTTCAAGCAGATGACAATTTTCTTTTGTACCTTGCCTAAATACTGGTAAGTATTTAGTCAGTGGTCAGGGAGTTAGTTTACACCACAACTGCTCTCTGCTCTGACTGGAATCCACACAAACACAGCATACGATGAGCCAAGCAGTGCAGTTAACATGCTGTGTTGCTTTCCCCAGGGTTAACCTCACACAGGCCTCCATGCAGACCGCATCTACCTGCTTTCCTTCTGGGCCTCGGCTTCCTTTTCCTTGGTGGATAAGGGCGAATCCTCAAAGTCATAGGAGAAGAGGTGGAAGGGGCTGTGAGGCACATAGGGCAGTTTTTCTATGGTGGGTGATGCTTTTGGGAGGCCAGGTGCAGCAGAGGAGGACCGAGAGGCTGAGGCAGGGGTGGGAGGTGGCAGCAGGGCAGGCCCAGAGGACCCGCTGCCCGAGAGGCCCCCCACTGCTGTGCTGGCCGGAAGCTGTTTTCCCTGCGAAGTGGCGCTGGATGCAGTGGGGAGGGCTGGACTTTCGGAAGCAGCATCCTGTCCAGTGGGGTTCTGCTCTGAGGCAGGGCTGGCCTCGCTGCTTTCCCAGCGGGGAGAAGGGTTGAGGAAAAGGGAAAGAGGGGAAGGAAAGAGATGCAGGAGAGAAGGAGCAAAAGTTAGGCAAAAGGAAAAGACATGTAAAAACCCATGCCTGTTATGGCCACTTACTTCAGAACCCAGCTGTGCTTCTTGAACTGCAGTCTAAAAGCCCATCGCCAGAAGCTTCGGTATGCCCAATTATGCTGGCACCCTAAGTTTGCCAATCTGGGAGGTGAGACCCACCTGGCCTCTGGGCATGGAGGTCTTTGTGAGGGGATTTAATGGAGCCCCAAAAGCTCTTCTGCACTCTCACTCAGCCCCCCAAGTTTCTCCTCACTGGTTATGTTGGCACCAGAATCTCCACAATTTGAACTTCATTTCTTTATCTTGGTCAAACAGAGCATCTGTCCTGTACCTAAAAAGCCCAGCCTTAAGGAAGTGGTATTCCACAGCCCTATGCTGTAGTCACTGCTTTCTGTCCCTTCTAAGCAGGTATGGATCAAAGAGAAGAAATGCCAGCAAGGAATGGAAAGAGGCAGGAAGGAGGGGCGCATAATGAAGACACATTTTGCACATGTCACCCTTTCCCTGGGGCCTCCTCTACCTCTAGGCTCTAGACATGGAGATTCCTACAGGCAGGGCTCATTCTGCCACAGCTACAGTCGTAAAAACGTTCCACCTTCAGAGGACTGGGCTCAGCTTACTTAGATATTTTGATGCATGCCTTTATAACCTGAGGATTTATGTTAAACTCTGCATTTTCCAGAGAACTTGACTCCCAGCCATGCTCATTTGGGAATAGGATGTGAACAGTTTTCTTTTCTACCTCAAATTTAGAACTCCACCTGCATATAAAGGCAGGGACATAGAGGTTTCCCTGGCCCAATAGGAGGATGATATGGGACCACAATGAAGTGCTTCCAGCAGGCTTGCCACATGTGAAGCTGGCACACACAGCAGGCACACATGGTAGGTATGTGTGGTGGGCACACACCAAAGAAGCAGCCAAAAGCAAGGGGGAACAGTGGAAGACATCAAACCCACAGAAGTAAGTGGAATTTCTCCTACCACATTCATAGGTTTATACCAGGGAACATAAAACTTCCAGGTCAATGTTAATGAATGTTTTAGGTACTGTCAAGGTCAAGCCCTGGTGTTGCACATACACACTTTTACTGCCTAAAACTGAAAAGCCTGACTATAGTTTATGATCAAGGGTGCCCTCCAGCATCAGTCTTGTAGTCAGACACTTCACAGGATAGGATAACAACCATCTGCCTGTGCAAACAACAATCCTACGTGAAGACAGCACAGTGTCAGTAGGGATGCCTCTGAAAGTTGCCCTTTCTGGCCCAATTCTTTCATCTGTTCTATACGTGCTGTACTGTGTGAGTCACTGAAGGTTGAAGGGTTTGTGCGTAGGAGAGAGAACATGCACATGTAAGCACCTATGGAGCCATACCAATGTGTTTATTGAAGGTCTGCCTAATTTCCTGTGGCTAATTTTCAGCCTAAGGTGAAATGTCAACTAAACCTCCTCCTTTCCCAGAGCTTCCCTAACTAAAAAGTCACTATCCCCAAGCTGGGCTCTCAGCATGGGCAAGGGGCTCTGGTGAATGCTGACCTTTCTCGCCCTCTCATTCTGAAATCTGTGGCTCACTCTCTGTCACCAGGCCATTTCTTTTCTCTCTCCATACCCCGCTGGCTTCTTCTCAGACATTTCCAAAGAGGAGAAGCCATTAGGTTGTCAGTTCTGAGAGGATTCTATTACCCTAAGAATGGAGGCTGTCTCAGAATGTCAAATGAGCCTATTTGAGAACTTTTAGGTGCACTGGTGGCCTGGAGAATGAAACTGCAGCAACAAAGAATAATATTGACTTTGAAGTTGGTAAGAGAAAGATTTTACCCTAATTTATCCAAGATTTTGATTTTTGCTAATCTGTAGAAAGACTAACAGTAAAAAAAATGTCAATTTGAAGTGTAATTAATAAAGTGAAGGAAACCAACTTAGAATTATTTTTGGATATCAGGAAATGACATTAAAAAATATCAGAAATTACCCGTGATCAACTTTTATTTTTCATACAGACATCATTGTGGGGAAATAGCTACAAAATTAAAAAACATCTCCAAGGTTCCCGTGTCTGTTAACATTGCCTGAAGACAGAAAGAATGCACCTTGGAGAGGTGACTAGAGGACAGTCAAGTTCCCCAAAGGTCCCTAGAGCTATGTTAGTTGTTCTGGGCATCAGAATAAATACTTGGAAATTTTTCTATGCTGTATGGGGTGAAAAGTGTTCCTGTCCATTTGGAAAAAAAACAAACTTGCATCATTTACACAGCAGTTACCCACACATATTTTTTAGCTAATATTGTATTGGTAAAATTAGTAGGAAGAAGGAAACACACCTAATTATTCTTACTACAGTGCTGAAAGGGTTAAAATTTTCTGAGCAGAGATGAACATCTTTTTAGTCACTGTCAATATGACTGAGCTGAAGCACTTAATGAGGAAGGGAATTGTGGGAAGAAAACCACTTGGGTGAGTCTTCCCTAAAGCATGGTTAGGAAGGCAGCATTTGAGTAAAAGATACAGTTCTCTAATGAAAACGTGCCTAGTGATTTCTACAGAACTAGTCACTCTGTGCGCAGGGTCAGTAAAGGTTTGCCAGTGGGAGCTAGTGAGGAAGGAAGGAGAATGACATGTGGCTGCAAACTATGCATTAGGAGGAGGCTTTGTCTTTCAGCGGGGGCCTGGGAGGGTCCAGCCCTTGGTACCTGTCCTTGCCCTGAGAGAGGGCATCGTCCTCTCTCTCTTCCTCTGAATTGGGCTCTGTGACTGGCTGCTCCTCTTCCTCCTCCTCCTCTTCCTCCTCCTCATCCCTGAGACGAGGCCAGGAAAAGAGAAATGCACACAGAGACAAGATGGAGAAGCGAGATAAGCATTACAGACAAACAGGAAGATGGAGCAAAAATACTCCAGCTGGTTGAAATGAAAAAAGCACATTCAATCTGTTGGGAGAAAGGAAGACAGTTCTGAGATGGGGAAATTTCAATGTGGGGTGGAGATGCAATAAACCAGCACAGGCCAAATTTCTTTGTCAGGTTGGCTGGCTGCTGCTGCCCCGCACCCCCACAGGCGGCTCAGGGAGCTTCTGGCCTTGGGCAGGCCTCCTATGTGGTTTTCCTCCTCCACACGGAATCATGCAGTAAGTATTCTTAGTAACGCCCAGCTCCCGCAGCAAACAGAGTCCTCACCTTTTCACTGCACACCTCTCGGTCAGAAACCACTGACGGTCAGGCCCATCCAGCACTAACCTCTATGATGGGCATCTGGTTTTCACAAACCACTCCTTCATTCTCAGTGAATGGAATCCAGGGGTTGATCCACCCCCACTTTAAGGCTGCCTGCACGGTCTTAAGTGGAGTCAATCCACGTCACCCCTGGGATTTCTCCCAGCGCCTTTAGGGATGAGCAGCTATAAGGACACCCTAAATCTGCAGCTGCCTATAACTTCTAGTGGAGGAAGGTTGCCTGTGAGTAAGACCAACCCAAGAAAAGCAGAGTTGGGTGAAGGGGTGGGAGTTCACACACACA